GGAATGCCACCCCCCTCCCTCCTTCCTTCTCCCCTTCATTCCCTCCCAACCTTGGGGGAGGGGAGGGGAGCAGGCTGGCAAGAGCAGGTGAGCCGGGGAGGAGGGGAGGTGGAGGTACCTGGGGGGAGGGGAAGGAGTGTGTGGTCGGTGGTCGAAAGGGCAGTCACTGGTCAGACTAGGGGGTCACAGATCAGGCTGCCCAAGGCTCCTCACCAGCCAGATCAGACTGGAACAAAGTCCCCTGATGGCCGGCTGGGACTGGGAGAAGCTAGCTCAGGACGCTGGTCAGAACTGTGCTCGGGGACATCAGCTGGTCATTCTGGGAGAGGTTCCTCAGGCCTGCCATCAGCCTGGGGGAGTTGGTAAGATGGGGGGGGGGTCCTGGGCCTAAATTTTGCCCTGGGAATACAAAGGAAAGGCTTGGATTGTCGTGGGCCTGGGAGTTCCTGGTCAGAGTGGTCAGGTTCCTTCATGCACTGGCCCTACAAGAGAACAACTGCTCTTCGGTCTTAGCTGAAGTAGCCCCTCCTCCAGGAAGCCCTCTCTGCTCCTCTGGCTGAGTCAGGTTCCCTCTGGGTTCTTGCAGCCCCTCAGGCTTCCCCACCTCAGCCCTGCAGTTTAGGAATGGGTCTCTCTCCCTCCCTGGATTGTGAGCCCGTGAGCCCGTGAGGAAAGAGCCAGGGTCACCTTGGTCACCCGTACTGCCCAGCATAAGACCAGACACAGTGGGCGCCCAGGGAAGGTTCGCAAGGCTCAAACGCAGGGGCGCACATGGACACCCCCTGGCTGGATGACAGCAGGATACACAACGCAGACTCAGTCTGGACAAACGCCTCCGTCCTCCATGCTCCCCCTGGGACAGGCTCCCACACTGTGAGCCCCCCACCCTAGGCTATTGCTGCTCGGACCAGGCCCTGCGAGGAGCACTCTCACAGCCATCCCCTTCCACCCTCCCAAGGCCCAACAGTGAGGTTCTAGGTGAGTGGGGAGGACTCTGGCCATAAATCCCAGCCTGGCCGTGGCCCCCATGGACTTGCAGAAACTAGCCTTGTGACGTCACCTTCCTTCGTCCCCTGCAATTTATTCCCACAGGACAGCCAGAGGGACCTCGTTAAAATGTGAGTCAGCACACACCCTGCTGTGGCTCCTGCCTCACTCGGAGTGACGCGGAGCTTTCTCCATGGCTCTCGAGGCCCCTGCTCTGGCTCTCGTGGCCCTCTGGCCCTCGTGGCCCCCCGGCCCCGTCTTCTGTCACCCCCCTTGCCAGCTCCACTCTCCTCACATCGGTCCCTGCTGCTGTGCTGCTGGGCACGCCAGGCACATCTGGGCTACAGGGTGTTTGCACCTGCTCCTCCCTCTGCTGAGACTTCTTTCCCCACGCAGCTTCCTCCCTCATCTGCCTCAAAGCTCTACTCCAACTCACCTCATTCCTTGGGTCAGCAGGTGGCATGGTGGTTAAGGTGCTGGACTTCCACATGCCAACAGTCATCGGAATCCAGACCTAGTGGCTTGAAAATAACATTGGGACAGCAGGTCACATTGGTCACATTGCTGGACCCCACATGGCTGACCACGGTTCGAGTCCCAGACCTGGTGACTTGAAAATCACGCTGGATGTGTGTGCATGGATGCCCAAGATCCCAGGAGGAGAATGGAGGAGGGATGGCAGTGTGGCCATTCCCCCCGGAGGGTGATTTCTCACTTTCCCTCTCACTGTCACTTTCTTTCTGGCAAGCACACACACCCTATAGTAATAATAATAATAATAATAATAATAATAATAATAAAAGTTTTTTTTTTTTAAAGAGAGAGAGAAACAGCTTCCCTTGAGCATCTTAGCTAAAGCAGCAAACCTTGGGCCAGCCCCCAAGGTTAAGCCCTGTGCACTGGGAGCTGGATACCATATGGACGACCGCAATTCAAATCCCAGACTCACTCAGTGGCTTGAATAACAAACTGGGCGTGGGACCAGCAGTTAGTATAATGGCTATGTCGCTGGACTCCCATGTAGTCGACCACTGTTCGAGTCCCGGACCTGGAGGCTTAAACTCACGCCAGGCACATGTGCGTGCATGCCCAAGATGCTGAGAGGAGAATGGAGGAAAAGGGATTGCAGCGTGGCTATCCGCCCTGGGGGGGTGATTTCTTGCTTTCTGTGTCTCTGTCTCTCTGTCTTTCTGCCTTTCTGGCGAGTACACGCAACCTATAGCAAAAACCTCTCCCCCCTCCAAAAAAAAAAAAGAAAACACACTGGGCGCGTGTGCATGCGTGCCCCTGTGATGGACTAAAACAGATGATAAGAAAAATGGTGTCTTTGAGCTAAGATGCATCCCATAGGCCTGCCTCACCCACCCCATAGAGCAGAGTGAAAAACAAAGATGTGATTACATTTAACAAAAGACACGCTGCTCTGTTTCTGTAAACTGCTGACAGACTGCCGGTAAAAGAATATAACAACCCTTACGGCACCCCGAGCACCCCGACCCTTACAGCCCTTCCTCCCTTACAACCCCCCTCACCCCGACCCTTGCAAAGTGTAATGTTCCCTTGTGGTTTTTGCGCTTCAATACCCTGCAAAGCTGTAGATCGGGGCTGTTGTCCCAAACGCTACCTGCCAGTCAGGGGCGACGGTCCCTAGCCAGGAATAAAGGCTCCTAAAACTTTCATTTTTCAGGTCTTCATGATATCTCGCACCACAGCACCCCCCAATCCTGATGGGATAAAAAACGAAGGAAAAAGGATTGCAGCATGACCATACCTTACTGGAAATTTCTCTTGCCTTACCTTGCTCTCTGGTGAGCACACATGCCCTCTGGCATTAAAATAAAATAAAATAAAATAAAATAAAATAAAATATAAAATAAAATAAAGCAATTCCTGGGTTGGCCATGGCAGTGCAAGCAGTAGCCCACCTACATGTGGAAGCCATATGGCCGCCCGCAAGCTCGGACCCTGAGCAGACCTGAAACATACAGGTGTGTGGGTCCTAATCCCGACTGGCCGGGGACTGGGGGGCATCACAGCGTGATGAGGCCTTGCTGACTGAGCTCCACTTCCTGCCTGTGCATGCTCTCCTGCTTTCTCCTGAAGGACGTAAAACTTCAAACAAACAAACTAGCAATTCCTGCCCCCTTGTATCTCCTCATTACCTTATTTTACTACATTTTTCTTCCATAGTATTGGTTTCAGATAGTGTATGTAGGATTTTGAAAAAAATGTTTATCTTGTATCAAGAGAAAATTTTTTTAAGTTTTTGCTGTAGGGCACATACACTTGCCAGAGAGACAGAGCGAGAGAGACAGAGAGAAAGGAAAAGTGAGAAAACCCCCCCCCCCGCTCCATGGGATGGCCACACCACAATCCCTACTCCTCCTTCTCCGCTCAGGAATTTAGGCACGCACGCACACGTACCCAGTGTGATTTCCAAGCCACTGGACATGGGACAGAGACTGCAAAGTTGGCCACATGGGATCCCGCTGCCTCACCCACTGTACCACCTGCTGGTCCATGACAATTAACTTTATTTTTTCAAAAAAAATATTTATTGGGACCAGCAGGTGGCGTGGTGGTTGGGGTGCTGGACATTCCCACATGGCCGACCATGGTTCAAGTCCTGGATCTGGTGGCTTGCTTTCTCACTTTCTCTCTTCCTCTGTGTCTCTCTCTGGTTAAAATAAAATAAGTAAATGGGTAAATAAAATTAAAAATAAATAATTCTTTTTAAAAAAGAAAAAAAATATTTATTTATTTAACTCCATTTGTCATTGTTATTTTTAAAAATAATTATTTTATTTAATTTTATTTATTCATTCATTTTATTTTCATTTGACCAGAGACACACACACACACACACACACATACGCAGAGAGAGAGAGACAGAGAGAGAGGGAAAGTGAGAAAGCAAGCCACCAGGTCTGGGACTTGAACTATGGTCAGCCATGTGGGAGTGTGCAGCGTCTTAACCACCATGCCACCTGTTGGTCCCCTGTCACTGTTATTTTTTTAATTTGAGCAGTTAGAGACAGAGAAAGAGAGAGAGAGAGAGAAAGGGGATATGAGAAAACAAGCCACCAGGTCTGGGACTAGAACCATGGTTGGCCATGTGGAAATCCACTGCCTTTAACCACCATGCCACCTGCCAGCCCTGCATGATAATTAACTAAGTTCACAGCATGTGGAATATGGGAATCATGACACTTTGGAGGGGAATGTGATTCTGGACTCGGATCTGGAAGACGGAATTATGGACATGCCAGCGACTTAGGCAGCAGAGGGAGTGCATTTGGGGTTGTACGACGGCAGCCACCTGTGCTGGGAGAGTTTAGGCGAGGACTTCTTAGGGAAAGTTTTTTTTGTATGCAGAGAGAGAAAGAGAGAGGGAAAAGAAATGACGCTCCGGGGGATGGCCACGTTGCAATCCCTTCTCCATTCTCCTCTTGAGATTTGGGACATGCACACACAGGTGCCCAGCATGTTTCTCAAGCTGTCAGGTCTGGGATTTGAACCCATAGTTGGCTACTGGGATCCAGCTGTCCTAACCACCATGTCACCTGCTGGCGCAGTACAGATTTATGTTGATGCAAACATTTTCTGAAAGCCATGCATAGTTTCTTTCACAATACACATTTCCACAAACCCTTCTTCGTCGCCGCCTTCCTTTTATAATTGCCAGAAAGTGTGGGTGCTGGCCAGAGACAGAGATGGAAAGGCAGAGACAGAGGGAAAAAGCACCCCACATGGGGTATGGTCACATTGCAATCCCTTCTCCATTTCTCCATCCTGTTGGGATTTTGAGCACACATTCACACACACCTGGTGCACTATTCTTTCCCTTTTTTTTCAAAAGAAATATTTATTATATTCATTGTCATTATTTTATTTATTTTATTTTATTGTTTTGAAGTTGACCAGAAAGAGAGAGAGAGAAGGAGAGTGAGAAAGCAAGCTGCCAGGTCCAGGACTTGAACTGCAGTCAGCCATGTGGGAGTCTAGCTGGCTTAACCACCATGCCACCTGCCGGCCCCACCTGGTGCTCTTTTCAAGCCACAGGGCCTGGGATTCAAACTGCCGTCGGCCAAGTGTGATCTAACTCTCCTAACCACTAGGCAATGAAGCCAGCCCTCCCTCAGCAAGCTTTCTGAAGTCCCCTCAATACACAACTATGATAAAGTTTAATTTATAAATATGATGGGGCCAGTAGGTGGTGTGGTGTTTAAGTCACTGGACTCCCACACAGCCGACTACGGTTTGAGTCCCAGACCTGGTGGTTTACTTTCTCACTTTTCCCCCTCTCTGTCTCTCTCTCTGGCCAAATTAAAAAAAAAAAAAAACTAATAAAAATAAAATGATATAAATAATTCTTTCAAAAATTATAAATAAGGCTCAGGAAGAGAAGAACAGTAAATAATGTCGTGTAGAACCATTTCTAACTACATGCTGTACTAAAAGTGAAGCGAATGTGGTCTCTTTCAAAGTATCTGACTGTCTTATTTCATGAGTAGCTGAAACTGCAAAAAGTGAAACCGAAGATAAAGGGGTGACTACTGTACTTTTTTAAAGAGAGACTTTTGCTATAGGGTGTGTGTCCTTGCTGGGAGACAGAGAGAAAGTGAGAAACCATCCCCAGGAGAGGATGGCCACGCTGCAATTCCTTCTCCTCTGTTCTCCTCTGAGGATTTGTGCATACACTCACAAGCACCCAGTGTGAGTTTTAAGCCGCTGAGTCCAAGACTCAAACTGTGGTCAACCATGCAGGAGCCCAGTGCTCCTTAACCACTTAACCCCCCTTAACCACTATGCCACCTGCTGGCCCCGACTACTGTACTTATTTATTTTTTAGAGGTTTTTGCTATAGGGCGCGTGCGCTTGCCAGAAAGACAGAGAGAGACGGAGAGACAGAAAGCAAGAAATCACCCCCCAGGGGGGATGGTCACGCTGCAATCCCTTGTCTTCTGTTCTCTTCTCGGGATCTTGGGCACACACACACACACGCCCGGTATGAGTTTAAGCCACTGGGTCTGGGACTCGAACTACATGGGAGTCCAGCAACATAGCCATTATGCCAACTGCTGCTCCCCACGACTACTGTACTTTAGAAAGAAACTAAAATCGCAAAAGAAGCAGGGATTGGCTAATTTATTCCGGCCCTGGCAGCTGAGGCAGATTCTAGTCCCCAAAGATGGCTGGGATGATATGTCTTCGCTCGTATAATCAGAGCTTGACACTTTCCAGCCAGAGTGAGGTCCAGGCCCCACCTCTCAGCTCTGTGCAGTTTGGGGATTGCATGTAACTAGCAGAATGCAGCAGGAGTGATGTTGTGTGAACCCCAAGAGGAGGTGGAAAAGGCCATGCAGCCTCTGTCCAGGCCCCCAGAATCCTCTCCATGAACTGGTCAGCCCACAGGG